TAGTTATGCAGTGACTTGGATATCTGATGGCGCTCGTTGGATATTTTGCCTTTTAAAAGGTAGTAAGTATCTCAAATCATAACAGAAATTTGCTATTGGATAAAAGCAATGTCGTTTGCAATTAATTAGCTCTAACTTCTGCATTTATTTTACTTAAAAATTTTGAATACCTAAAATGTTTCTACAAATTAGGTAATTAGGTTTTCGTTTTGTAACAAATGACTACCTATACAGTAGGTATGTTTAATTTATACGTATTGGGTATTATATAATGTTTAATTTATACGTTTATGCGTATGTATTTAGGTATTTAGTTTATTGTAAATTACGTAAGTAATAAAGAAGTAAAAACTAAAGTACTATTATACGTATTATAATTTAAATTTGCTTAATGTTGGCCACACGCGGTCAGTTTAAACTGATTTTTCCAGCTCAACAGTTCAAACTAAAACTGTTGATATTTTTTAAAATATCGGATTTTCGATATATCCATAAATAAACTAATATGTAAAACTCCGATATTAATATGTGCCCTGGAATAAAAAGTCGCCTAACCAAGGTTCTAATGAGACTGAACAAGCCACAGACCAGGATAGTAACAAGTGCTATCACGTGACATGGCTCTTTTAACAAATATTTGTTTACCATAGGTGTTACTGATAGCTCCCTTTGCAGGGCATGCATGGGAGAGGGAGAAACGGCTCACGTGTTGCTAACATGTCCAGAGGTCAAACTTACTACATCAAGGGACTATTGAACTTCTTCGGGGAGATATCAGGGCTCGAATAATCACATTATTCCTGCCCACACGCAAAATACGCGCTTAGACGTGGAGTTGCGGAAAATAGCCCGTCGTAAACTAAACTATAGGCGTCGATAGAAGTTATAGGCTATAACAAAACATACTATTGTAGATGTAAAAACATCCTCAATCATACAATCATCGAAAGCGTTCGTACCTTCGACCATGCATGGACCGGATGGAACCTTTCTCTCAAGCCATCTTATACGCACGCAAAATTAGTATGTCCTTACGACCAACCACTTGGGTCTGGCCCGTACTACATACACTGTTATCTACACTCTGTTCGACTAACCCGACTGGACCGAACGGATGTGTCCTTTCGACCAGCCGCTAGTGCTTAACACTGACGACATTGTACCTTCGAACAGCTACACACTAAGCGATTCAAAAGAAACTTTACCAATCATAACAAAAAAAAATAGATATATAAGATTCTAAATCGTTCTTTACACAAATGTACACTACACTTTATTTTACTTTCACGAGCACTCATCTCTATGTTCAGTCATCCTTACCAAGTCTTAACGAACACCACACCAAACCTCTATCAACACCACACGCACACCGCACTTACTATTGAGCTACGGCCACGGCACGGCCGTTGACACGATCAAAACAAAATGAAGCAAGAAACGGAAATTTTACACGGTCCTCAATCATTCAATAGAGCCAAAGACTTTATATTCTCTATGAATAGAGCCAAGTCAGTCAATTAAAATATATTTGGTTTTCAAGCACTTCTTTCAACGAATTAAAAAAGTTAACAATATTTAAGATAAACTCAGTATCAGTAGTACCCCCATGTACCAAACGGCGGCCGGAGCAGCATCAAATAATCTGTCTGCGGCGCCCTACGTTGACAGCATACTTCCATTAAAAATCGAGCACAAAGTACCATGCCTTCTAAACGCTGACTATCACACGTCATCTTGTGTCATCAACAGTAAGCCGTCAGCATACGGTTACGGTACCAGTTATACGGTAACAGTTATCACCGCCTGCAACAGAAATTGACACTTGTTAAATATTACAATGCTCGACCATGCTCGACTTCATATAGGTCGATCGTAGTCGACTGATCCGGGCTTATAAGACCCTTTTAGTCAGTATTACTACCGAAAGTGTGCACTGGGTGTGTTGAGCTCTCTATTTTAGTGGTCTAATACTAAAGGCGTGAGCAGGGTGTACACGGCCACTTTTTTAACTTATCAGAAGTCACTTGAACTGTGGATGGGTGTCCGTAACCCTTTCATCCACATACCGGCAATCGTATAATATTCCTCGGACCAGGCGTATAAAGACCGTTTGTCCAGCTACCTCAATCAATACGCAGCGTAGACTATATGCTGCGGGGATCGGGCAGGCGAGGCCCCTTCCTCCAGCCACCTCAGATAATATGGAAAGGGGACCGGGCGCGCAAAACCCCTTCATCCAGCTAACTTAAGCAATACGCAGCGTGGACCGGGCGTGCGAGGCCCCTTCATCCAGCCACCTCAGGCAATATGAAGCGTGGACCGGGCGTGCGAGGCCCCTTCATCCAGCTACCTCAAGCAATACGCAGGGTGGACCGGGCGTACGGGGCCCCTTCATCCAGCCGCCTCTCGACTCAACCAGTGGCGAAGCTAGAGCTCCAAGCTAGGGCAAGCCCAAGATATAAATTGATAAAAATATAGATTGTTGTTTTTAGCAGTTTTATAAAAATACACCAATCTTGATCTGTCTCCACGCTTCAGTTTCATATTCAGTGCTGTCAAGGACGTGTTTAACAAAGCACACAGAATGCATACCACTGCTAGATAGATTGTATTACATATCAGCAATTGCATAGCTTCGGTGGCTTTGAAGAAAGCCGTTGTTTCGGTTTGTTTAAGCGAAAGAAAAAAAATATTTACATCCAATACAATACATGAACAAAAGTAAAACACGAACAAAGTACAAACAAACTATGTACAAAATTAAAAAAAAAATATTTACATTCTAATGGATAAGAGATAAGATAAGATAAGTGGAATCGTCTCGCTTTCTTATGGAAAGATTTAATTACGTCCACGTAAAATTTTGGTGAACGTTAATTGTACCAACTGATATTATTAGTCTGAAATACACTCTTAACCTTGTGTATTATCTCAACAAAGTTTAAAGATTTCCTTCTCCGATTATCTCTTTAACACACTTCAATTCATCACAAGGAGCACTATTATCCTCCATTTTCATTAAAAATCTTTAAAAAAGCATAAATTTTGAACTCGTAATATTAAATCGCTTAAGATAAGCACACAGAGTAAATAAACATTGAAACGTGAAATGAACTTGCAAACGTATTGCCCGCGCGCCTCCGCTTTTAAAAAAATTTATTCCCAAAAGCCTGGCTTTAAATCTCTATACTAATTGCTATATATACAATCGTAGTTATATTTCATTAAGTATAGAATATTTTGCCATAGGTTAGAAAGAGAGCGTTCGTCTTCTCGAAAGCCCCGTAAAAAGCCCATGCGAGCGAGGGAGACAACTATTAGCTCTATTAAAACTCATATAACATGGACGGAGCGCACCAGGCTCTCCTATCCAGCATTCACACCACACTAATGGATCTGGGCATCTTAAGCCCCTTCGATACTATCAATCTTTTGAACGTGAAACGAAACAAGTTTCGCATGAACTATCAAATAATAACATCACTCGAGCAACTTAAGTTTCCACTGTACTTTCAACATTTGTTAGCATATTTGGGTACATTAAAAATTATAAAAGTACTTGCGGGTACTTTTGATATAAATCGAACAAAAAGATTTAACGTTTGGCTTAAAACACTTCTGTTTAATCTTTTACTCAATACTTTAGTGATACTTCAATGTCGTAAATAGGAACATCAAATTTCTTTACGTTATAACATTTAAAAAAACCAAAGGCATCAACGTGAAGCGCATAGTCTTTTACAAACCTAATAACCCTTACACTACTTGAAGATTATATGTAGTAGTGATGTAACGGATATTCGCATTCGCGTTCGCATTCGCGAATATCCGCATATTTTTCAATATTCGCATTCGCATTGTTGAATGTTTTTAATAATCAAAAAGGAAATTATTATATGCATGCATATGAAATAATAATACAATAGATAACACTTAGATATTTTTATTAAATCATACTTCTACATTCTAAATTAAAGTATCATTTATGAAAAAAGAACTTCAGAGATCTGATCAAATCTAACATTAATCAGCCTTGTTACAACTAGTATGTAAGGTTTGCATTTATTTAGTAGTATATTATTACTTTACTACCATTTTTAAATAAAGTTTACAGTTTCTATTTACTAAAAAAGTAAACAATTACTTGAAACAAAATTATTAAACTATAAATATCTAATGTATTAAGTATTTATAACCTTTGGCTTTAAATGTGTATTTTTTCATTCCACTTTATATATCTGAGGAATTAAATATATTTATAATGAATGAAATATAAACTTAAAAAACAAAACAACGAATACTTAACCATTTGTAAATAAACCTTTTTTCAAAAACAAAATTGTAATTATTTTTATTTTAAACTAAAGTAAACTTCTAATACTTGTTATGTTAACATTTGGTTTTTGGTTTCAATTGCAAGTTATTTACAAAATATAAATAAAAGTACACAAAATATAGTTTTTCTAATAACATGTTGACTATTTAATTATTAAATTTGTTGTAATTTTTAATTCTTAATAATTAAATTGAAGCAATGGAATGTTAAATTTTAAAAATAAAAGTTTGGAGGCTCTTTCTCCGTGCAGCCTGTTTCGGTGAGGTGTGTAAAGTAGTCCAGCTCCACTGAAAACTCTTTCACTGGGGACACTTGTGGGCCAAGTTACCAAATATTCTTTGGCTACTGGAGAAAGAATGCCATATTTGTTGCTATTTACTTTCCACCAAAGAAGTGGGTCTTCTTCATTTTCAATACGTTTATACGAAAAATATTCATTAATATTTTTTTTTATTAATACTTCTAATGGATTTGGAATATCATTATCTAGTTCTTCCTCGCTTTCACTTGAGTCCATCATCATTTTCATCGTTTCTTTTAATGTCACAGATTTTTCTAAAAGACTGGTACTGGAGCCCAAGTTTTCATTATCCTGTTTCCTTATTTTAGGACGCTTTGGCTTTGAACATGACGGCAAACTTAAGTCCTCATCTCCAAGTGAATCTTAAACATTTTTCATGACTTGATCTTTTGTTGAAGGATTTTTGAAGAGTTTCGTTTTGTATCTAGGATCAATAAACGTTGCTGTAGCAAATAATATGTCGTTTTCTAAGTGAGAAAATCTGTGTCTCATTTCTTGTTTTAAAACAAGTATAGTGTTCCTAATGCACTCGTCAGATGCATTATATTCATCAATCACCTTTTCCAGAGTGGCCAATAACGGAATCACAGATGATATGGAAACATTGGATGCACTTAGTTCTCGAGTTATTTCTTCAAAAGGTTGAAGCAATGTAATCAATTTTTCCACAAGTATCCATTCTTCTGAAGTTAGTTGTGAAATTTTGTTGCTGGTGGAAGCATAAAGGCACAGCGAATCTTTGTTTTTCAAAATGCGTTCTAGCATGTAAAAGGTGCTATTCCACCTCGTAACACACTCTTGGATTATCTTGAGCTTTGGTTGATTAAGCTTTTCTTGTAGATTAACAAGTTCATCTTGAGCTACATTAGAGTGGTGAAAATGTGTTGTTTCTTCTTCTTTTTTTTATTTTTTTAAAAGAATATTAACAATGCTATAAACATGACTAATATTCCCCTTAACCACTCGTGGTAAGCATAAATTGCTTGTGTTAAGAGTGGTTCACGACAGTAGTCGAATGGCGGATTCGAACCCACGACCTTTTTGAGTTCGCGGTCAGCGCCCTGCCATTAGGCTACTGTCGCTCAAATCTTTTTACATTTGTTAATGGCTGCAATGATCGATTCTTGTGACTTAAGCCCTTCTTTAACTACAAGTTGGATTTGGTGCGATAAACAATCAATGTTTTTAATACTTAATAAAGAAATACCTTTTTTCATGTTAGTGCCACCATCTCTAACAATACATAATACTTTTTCTTTGGGAATTCCCCATGATGACAACATAGTTTCTAACTTTGCAGATATATTTTCTCCTGTATGTCGCCCATCATTGAGTACTTCTGCTTTCAATACAATCATTTTTCGTTCAAAATTATTGGTATTTCCGTGACAAGTGAAACTTATCAGCGACACTCCAGAGCAAGAGTCAGACCAGATATCAGTTGTTAATGCAAATTTTTCAAATGATTTGATTAATTCCAGAATTTTATCTTTTATCTTGCCGTATAATTTCTCACAAATGAAGGAAGTAAAATATTGCCGACTTTTTAAATTATATGAAGGGCATACTTGGTTAATCAATCTTACAAATCCAAGACATTCCACAAAACTAAATGGTAAGCCCTCCAGTGCGATAATTTCGCCAATCAAATTATCCAGCACCTAAGACTTGGTGTTGTTGTTATCCCACTTTTTATTTTTTTCAACGCAATCACTCAAAGACATTTGCTTAAGGTCAGTTTTGGTACATTGTCGCGAAGAGGACGCCAAAGAATTAATTTTAGCAGCATCTTGCTTTTCATGTTCTCTTTTTTTCAATTCTTCATATTCATTTTTGTGTTTAGCTTCCAGGTGATTTCTCATAGCACTAGTGGTCCTGCCTTTGCGCGAGTACTTTTTATCACACAACTTGCAATTAACATTTTCAGCATCACATATTGTAAAGTAAGTCCAAACTTCGCTGATGTGTGCTTTACTCGTGTTTTTATGCCACTTTGTCCCTTAAATATCAGTTAAATTTGATAAATAACATGAAACTAACCTCAAAACAAAACAAAACTTTTAGAATAAATTTACTGTGGCTAAATTCATTCAATTAACCAATATCGGCTCGGCTATGTTCAATTTAAACATGGCCGACACGAAACGTCAAACCTGTCAAACATTTTACGCGCGCTTTTTTTTGAAAATTTAAAATATTCTCATTCGCATTCGCATTCGCGAATGTTGAAGATAAATATTCGGAATCGCATTCGCATTGGCGAATGTGAAAAATCCAACATTCGTTACATCACTAATATGTAGGCAATAAGAACAACTTTATCCCACTTCTGATGTCGGAAAGTACAATACGGTAAGACAATTGCGTGGTAAATAACAGGATAGCGTTAATAATTAAAATGGTAGTAGTGTGAGAGCTGATGTTCAACTTGCTCTCTTGCTTGCGCTATTTTTCATTATCAATAATAGGACAGCGTAACAGCGTAACAGCGTACAAATATATTTATAATGATCGATATATCGAAAATCCACTATTTAAAAAAATATCAACAGTTTTAGTTTGAACTGATCAGTTGGAATGATCAGTTGAACTCACCGTGTGTGGCGTCCATAATACTTGGTCAATTTTTAAATATACCTACCCACAAATAAGATGATTATTCGACTGTGATTATGAAGTCATTACATTACTATTTTTATATGTAATTTCTTTCTTTAGAAAATGTCTGGACAACTTTCAATCGAGTACTGGACGACTACTGGCTACTGGCTGCAGGTTGTTTCAGTAAAACACGCTAGTTTATTATTGTAGGTTTAATCTATCAGACCTTTAAAGAAGTTTTTCTACCTACATTATTTTTTATTTTATCTACATTATCCAAAATTATTAAATTGGAATGACTCAATCTGAGAATGTTATGAACACTTGTAATTATTGTACTTTATATGAATTTAAGATTTTAAAAATTTATAAGTTTTCGTAATAATATCATTATAAATTATAATATTATGTTTATTGTATGTGTACCTGTTAAATATATGCCTTGTGAGTGTTATATTATAACCATTGATTTATATGGTTATAGCACAGAATATCTTCTAGTCTAGCAGCATTATCGATGCTACGCATAGGTATATGTTAGATACTAGCTTTTTGTACCTAAAATTAATTTATTATTAAACTGGCTTCGCCTCGGTCTTTCGGTCTCATGTCTATTTTAAATTCACGCCGAAATTCACTACCAACTTATATTTGGTATTATATCGACTTGACCTTGTTGTAAACTAAGAGTTTTTACCTATATTTCACTACATTTAGTAGTGTGAGTATATTATATTTAATGGTATTTATTTACCTTCAGCATTCACCCTTGTTGCGAATAAAGGGTTGCCAAATTTTATCTTTCAGCCTCAAGGGTCAAACAATCATGAAACTTAGATACGAGATTTCTCTTTTTCTACCCGGGACAAATACAAATTGCAATGTAAAAGATTTTGCTGTTCATTATGTATTTGTGATTTGACGTGCTTAAAAAAGTTTAAAAATAAAAAAGACGATTAAAGTCGTAACTAAAACATGGTAAGCATTCAAGCAGAAACATTCGGCTTTAATTAAAGTAGGCGTCATTGAGCTATTGTCACAGACTTAGTAATTTACGACTTACTACGTAGGTACATTATACTTCAAACAGTTGGCGAGTATTTGTTACGGACTTTAGTCGTCCATAGACTCGTGAAAATATCCTTACGACGAAGCAATTTCTGTTCCATTTCGAAATATATCATTGTAAGAATACTAAAATGTTGAAATTAAAGAACTTATTGTGAAAACGTTGCTTATCCCATTCTACGGGACATGTCTCGCATGTTTCATCACATTAATAAGTCATCAGGATTATCAGTTGGTAAAAAATCTCTTTTACGTCTCGCTTTTCAGCTCATTTGCCGTTTGTTTACAAAAAGGAGAATAAGTACCTACTTTTTATAAATACGTAACATTTTATTTTCTTTTATTATTTTAATGCTTTTCTTACAAGTTAATTCTTTAAAACGAATTTAACTTTGGGTTATTTACTTAATAACCATTTAATAAATATATAAGTTTCAATTTACTACTTGGTAGAAGTCCCTGTTCTTGTTGTTGTTCTTTGTTCATAGTATCAAAATGGTCATATTTTCATTAAAAAATCGAATCCTGGCCCTTACTCTTCTTGGCTATACAAAGAATTGTTAAATAGAACTTAAAAAGAAAAATAAATGATATTGATACTCTTTTAGTATTTTTAATCTTTTTGTTGTTTAAGGATTGGGAATTCGAAAAATGTTTTCGTATTGTTCACCGAGCGATCAGATGTATTAATCTAAGTATTTTGCTCGAAACAATACGTTCACAAGCTCACAAGCCCATTGTTCGCAACGAAGTAGCGGCGGAGAACCGCTAGCTAATAAAAATGTTTGTACATATTTACGTTAAGGCGCTACCTCCAGCGAACGACCTTGAGCGTTTGGTCTGTCGACGCTCGCTACAATATATCGCGTAAGAAATCGCCAAAAGACGCCACCTACTGCTACGAACGTAGTATTATTTTTTCAATGTCAATGAACTCTTCTATGGAAATAGACACGGCGTACAATGATAAATGTATTTTAATTTTCTTTATTCAGTATATTAGTTGCATTATATTAGAATTATGTATTCTAATATATTATCTAATTAATAAAAATGACTATTTTGATTATTTTTAACTATATACTATACTGCTAATATTGAATTAGCTTTTTATAGTGTAAATTATAATATTTGTCGAAATATTAATTATGGATTCGAACTTTACATGCTAATGGTGCTTCATTTTTGTTATTTTCATTTACTTACATATTGAAAATATATTTGAATAGTAGTTATTATTATTTTATTTAGCTACTGAATTTTAGGATATGTTTTACCTTGAGGTCAAATATAATTTTGAAGAGCAATAGTTATTACCTACTAATCTTTTATCTGCTATTCCTTATTTAGGAACAATATTAGTAAATTGAGTTTGGGGGAGATTTACTTTTTATAATGCTACATTTATTATTTTAATATTTACCTACTGGGTAGGTAATTATTAAAATAATAAATATAGCATTAGTAACTAAATAGATACATTTTTTAAATTTTTAAAATTAAAATTTTCGTATTTTTAAAAAATACTAAAAAAAAAGGGTTTGAAATAATAGATTTTCTCACAAAAGAAGGGAACTTGAAAAAGAAAGGAAAAAAAAGCGGGACCAAAACCAAGACCCGAACCACGGAACTTTGATATCACACCCGACCGACATACCACCTGAGCTATAACGACCGTTAATGATTTGTCGAAATTCACCTTCTTATACTGTAGCAGTTTTTTATTGCCTGAAAACACGGACAAAAGGACATTTTCTAAAAATAAATCCAAGCGTTCGTCGCTAAAATCGTTGGAGCAGTATAATTTTCCCATCTGGTTCGGTTATATAAATATTTAAATATATAAAAATTATAAATTAAAATGAGAAGATAAATATACATAAAATAAATACAAAATATTATTATATTATTATTGTTATTATTATTATTATAAGTTGTGGTTCGGTGAAGCTGCAACCTAATGGACCATGATCTGAAATTTTTATGAAAAGAAGTGGCTGACGTCAATTATTATTATTCTTATTATTTTTTCATTACTGCCTTTTTCAACCTCACAAGATATTTGTAACTGCAAAAAAAACTACGTATAAGTAAGTAAATCAGTAATATAGAGTTATGTATGATTCAGACTAAATAAAGGTTCCTAAAAATAGATGTAGATAAAGAAATTGCATAAAAAATTACTCAAATAAAAATGCAATAAACTTGTTAATTTTATAGGTACTTAGTAAAATATTAAAATAATAAGTTTTTTAGGATATTTATGTAAAATATAAAGGTTATATTATGTTCTAACTACGTTCACGCTTGCGCACATAAAACCGCGGAATTTCACTAGTTTTATTATCAAAATAATAATTGATAACCCTACCCTAAGTTTGCCTTGATTTTACCAACTCAAACTCGTTTTAGGAGATCAAAACATAGAGAGAAAGATAGGAGACTATTTTTTATTTAATATGGTTGGATCTTTATTTATTTGTATATTTTTTGTATTTATTTTATTTTATTGATATTTATGTATATTTATCTTTTCATTGTAATTTATATTTATAAAAACCAACCAGATGAGAAAACTATACAGATACCCCAACAATAATAATATAATAATAATAATATTCCACAAATATCACACAACGCCATCTAGTCCCAAGCTAAGCAGAGCTTGTATTATGGGTACTAGACAACTGATAAACATACTTATATATTTCTAAATACATAAATATTATAGATAAATTACACCCAGACACAGAACAAATGATCGTGCTCACCACACAAACATTTGTCCTGGGTGGGAATCGAACCCACGACCTGCGGCATAGCAGTCGGGGTCACTAACCACTAGACCAACAGGCCTGACGATAAATAAAATAAAGTCTCTAGCTCGAGAGGAGAGGAGCCGTGGTAGCTCAGATGGTTAGCGCTTGCTAAAATTTTCACAGTGTGCGAGCAAACCGGGTTCGATCACATTGTGAGGAAACCTGCATGTCTGAGAAATAAGAAAAAAAAATATTTCGAAGACATGCAAAGTTCGCCAACACGCAGTGGGGCAGCGCGGTGGATAATTCCTTTCCTAGGAGCCTTTCAGAAAATAGAATAGAAATAAAAAAATAATAAACCCAAACTTCATTTAAAACCAAACATATAAATTGTAAAGTAGCTGCAGGTATCTTTAACCAAGTAAAAGATATACCTTTACTCCAACTTGTCCATGTTTCCCAAAACAATTTTTAATTAAGCTTTATATTATAATGCGGATTTTTTATATTTAAAATTTTAATAATAAAGCATTTCGTACGTCTCAGCCGAGGCGCAAATATTTTCGGCCGCAAATTTATAAGACCGATTTGTTATTCAAACATAAACATGGTTTTTTAATTAAATCTACCAATCATAAAACGACACGCATTTTTATTGAACACTTCCTATTCAATTCACAAAGTACCTATTATATTTGTTTATATAAAAAAGTATATTTAAGTATAATCATAAAACTAAATGGAAACACAAAGTAGGAAAATGCATTGAGTTATAAAACACATAAATCAATGGGCAAATGTAAAAATACTGGAGGCAGCAGCCCTATCGGATGTTTACGTACCGCACGGCTGTAATATTTATTTCTAAGATACGGCCGAGTTACAATATACCGTGACGTAAGCGCATCGGTTGGTAGGTACTCAAATAATTTCTGTTTGCGGCGAAATACGGACGCGCGGCGACCAGCGACGCGGCCACCTCGTATGAACGCATACAGCGTAATGCCGCCCGCACTCTGCGCACGCCCCTTTATCATAGAAGTCACACAATTTTCGGAATTATTTCAATTAAAAGAGAAAAAACGAACTTAAAAATTTAAATAAAACGTGGAGAATATAGATTTTTTAATTATCTATCCATTAGTGTTATCCTCAAATGATTAGAGCGTTGCGTTTAGCAACAGATGCATGTAATCAAGAATTTTAGTCATTTTTTAAAAGTTGATTTTAAATGTATTTATAGCACATAAAAATAAATTAGAACGTGGAATGTGATGATAAGATATCGAACATTAATAATGTACTTTTAGATGTAGTTTATTTTTCATAACTAATGAGATAATAGAGTCTGAAAAACGCACTTTCGCAACATTTTGGTCAGGGATTCACCTTAACAGGTGCCTGTTTTTGTTTTGTTGTGGCTTTTGAAGACATTTTTTTGAAATAAAAAGCCGTCTAGGTGCGACCCGAAAGGCCCACACGACTAACATATGTTTTAATATTTAATACAATTCTTCATTCGGCACAAAAAACGACTTGACCGATTTTGGTCAAAATTTAATGAGGTCTAAGTTACATAATTATGCGTTAAATGAAACTGGTCCCATGTCAATATCACTTTTTGTTCTCGAGATACACGAGGCGAAAATTGAATCCGAACATACATACATACATACGTACATGTGCACACACGGACATGCTCTTAAAAACCATTCTTTTCGACTCTAAAGACCGTGAAACGTGGAGGTATGTTAAAATTTCCAATTTGCAATATCGGACTCATTACAATAACTTCCCACTGGGAAGTTAAAAATAAGGGTGACAAACGAATTTACAATACCTACACGTGATGGTAAGTGGGTGTTGTGGCCCATAGAGGATAAAGGGGGTTGCCTCGTTTCCAGTAAAAAGTGTCTCCGGTTCTCTACACTCATCATACGAAACACAGCTGCATGAAGCTGCTATTTTACGCTGGTATTCTGTGAAAACGTGGTTCTTCGCCGGTCTAGCCGACCCGTTCGTGCTACAACCATAATATAGTTGTATGACATGTTACATACTCTCTCTTCAACCCGGTTATAGCCGATAAATACATAATGAATACCTAAGTGTGTATAAAATATATTCTGTATCTTATCAAGTTTAATTCTTTAATTTAATTGAGTTAACTGTTTATAAATTAGCATAAGCTTAATGCAAATGTTACAATGGTAACGGACACAGCGTGGGCGATGTGGGCGTAGTACTACTTCGATCGAGTTTTAATAATTATTCAGTTTGTATTGGGTTTGGTAATTTATGTGTTTACTTCAATATGATGCTGGCGCTACACCACCGTCTAACTATCAAACTGCAAATGTTCGCCCAAATCAGCGCTAATTAAAGTTCCAACTATAAAACGTTATTCTGTATAGACCATACGTATCTTCCTCATAATAGTTTCTGAAGTCGGTGCTAAGACATAGTGTATCAGAGAATTAAAGACCCCGATTGAGCTATCATGTGAAAACTATATACGATATAGAGGTGCCTAAGAAATATTACAAGCTTAAGGTACCGTACAATGTGGCAATTTGACCTTTACCAGTCAACTTGACCTTAGATTCCGTGTTATGACAAAGTATTGAATTTCATAGAATTAAAAACAAGTTGACAAATTGTTTAAACGGTGGTGGTAGTCATTGTTGCTATAAACAAATCATGTTTCAATGTTAAAGGAGTCTGTCTGGGTAATATATATCAAAAATAACAAGTTGCCACATTTCACGGTAACTAGAATGTCGTCTAAACTAAGCAGTTGAATTAACAAAATTGCAACCTTTTTTGTACCCTACCCACTACTCTTGAACCTTTTAACCATCCTTGAGTTATTTTTATCATTAAGCTATAAATAATTAATGATAAAAATATGAAAATAGAAAGTAAAGTCGACATGAAAAATTTCTACTTTTTTAAATTCACGGTGTTTGTTTACCGCCGCCACCGCCGCCGTACGAACTCTGCCGAACCATCCAATGCGAACTCAACAACGAAACTTAACTGCACCAAAAGGCGGACGAGACAAAGTGTGGGATGATCTGATTAGAGCCAGCATAACCTTTGTAACCTTTTCTAGATTTTTCTAAAGTAAAATACATGTTATTATCTATGATTATATTTTTGACACTGTCAGTCAAATTTTTTCTTTCAAACCTTTTAAGCGAACCACAGAAAAATTTCAGTATTAAATAAATCCATAACAATTGCCGCTAACAAAATAACAAAGTTTCTTAACGTTTTTAATTGCATCTCATGTAAAATGTTTTCGAGAAAGTCAAAACAAAGCCATTCAGGAAATTTTACCCCGAAACCGGAATCTCTTCCAGATATAGCATTAGCTGCTATTGTGTCGTACAAGAAGCAGAAAGATATCAATGATTTCATTAGTTTCATTCTGGAAGCATTAGAGAGAAATGCCGATTGGTTGAACGACCTCGTCGGTAAGCAAAACAGTTTCAGATGCGCCCTTATGACTGGTTCTGGACCCAATCGTTTTCAAATCCAACAAATCATTTATCCATCATCAGAAAATGAAGTTAAATTTCAAATAGAATGCAAAGACTCAGAAGATTACGACAAAGTTGCAATTGCTGCGCTCATAAAACTTAACAACGCGAATATGGAACGCATGATGAAGTATACCAAAAGTCGTTTCTTTGAAAATTCTTTAATAAAGGAGGAGCTGATAAAAGGCAAGATGTTAGGAATAAACTATGCAGTCTTGCGATCATTATCCGATAAGCAATATCGATTATTCGAGAGAATTGTTATTGGAAGTTCATCAAAATGTATTTCACCTGTTAAAAGGCGCCTGGAAGACAAATCGATGACTAGAAATCCGTTAAAAAGAGTTAAAAAACTCGCTTATTAAATGTAATTTTTATAAAGCAATATCATTACTGCCAACTATCATAGTGTGATGATGTAATATATAATGGCAGCAATTTAAGGTAAATGTTTTTTTTTGCGCCCGAAGCAAATATGGGCAACTCTCCGGAAAACGGGGGAGGGAGGTGGGGAATGCTCAAAGCATACCACGCAGCCGGCTGCGTAAACCCCACCTTTTTAGGGACTGGCTTAACGGTCTAACTAGAGATCTCTAAGCCGTGTATGGGCGCAAGCAGAAAGGAGTAAATAAATTTTTTTTTTTTTAAGTAAATGTATTGGTCGTAATAAATTATACTCATTTGGACAATGAAAGTGTCCGGTTTGGAATATCCATTACGTCCCACAGCTGGGTACAGGCTCCACTCCCCTCATTTCTGAGAGGGTTTTAGGGCAAGGAAGTGTCCGCCGCGCTGTCCCAATGCGTGTTGGCGAACTTAACATATCTTCGAAATATTTTTTTTATTCCTCAGACATGATGATCACGATGTTTTTCTTCACCGCCGAGCACGTGGTAAATCAGCACTTAAAATGGCAATTAACAATTTCATTGGTGCCGGCGGGGATTGAACCCGGGTCACTCGCGTTCTGTTATATTTACAGCAAGCATTAACCATCTGAGCTACCACGGCTCTTTGAATGAATTTAAGTAAACAGACCATCAAAATAAAGTAGAAATTACAATTACGAATATATTGTCGTGATGATATATTCGTCAATGGTTGTTCATCTCAAGTAGGCAACACTGTTCTCGACACTTAAAATCACATAGGGCGTGATTTTATCTTGAAAATAGTTTCGCAACAATATTATTCAATATAGTAGAGCCAATATAGTTTCAGATATTATCATTGCAGCACGAAATGTGACGGCTCAACTGGCGGACTACGATATCACTGAATACCAGCGTAAAATAACTTATTACTGTTGTGTTTCTTATGGTGAGAATAGAGAACCGGAGACCGTTTTTTACCGATAACGAGGCATTCTTTTGTCCACAGGGGCGACAACGCATCTATACTTTGATTTTCAATCGACAGATGTAGTTTGACATGAGCCACAGCGTTTACTTATCCTCAGGTGGACTGTGTGCACGTTTGTCATCCTCATACTATAAATATTTAAACTTCTTGATGCAATAAAGATATTGATTAATTTGCAACCTTCCGCTAACTAAATACAATGATGTGTCTCACCTGGATTGAAGAGCACCTCCGGTTCTTCCTCAATTGCGTGCACTAATTCCGTCACCACTAGTCCCAGCACCACTACTCCCGGCACCACTACTTCCAACGCCACTATTCCAGGAAAGACACACCATCGACGATAATACGACACGTGTTTAGCCTCTACACGAGGCATCCTCAGGTGATGTAGACTCTACGGCGGCTGACCGCTAAGTAAAGTAAGACACAACATTGTATTTAGTTAGCGAAAGGTTGCAAATAATCAATATCTTTATTATGATATGGATTTCAGCAAAGTAACGCCTGATTCTATCATTTAACTTCTTGATGCGGATCTAAATTCATTATATCTAGTAATTTCTTTGTAATTTTTGTGTAATTTAATGATTACTAATATTCTGTGTAATATGTTTTTAGCATAAAGATAATAATTTAAATAATCGCGATTCGCGATAACGACAGTAACCAGTACATAATACAACTGTGCGCGGCGTCATTCTTCTTTACTGAAGAAACGCAAATACAACTTTTGTTTTTTTACACGAAGATGTTTTCAACGCATGTTTCAAAACGACAAAATACTTGTGTAAAGGTAATCTCTTCCAAAGCGATATTCGTAAATGTAATATCGGCTTAATTTCAATTTAATAGAAACTTTTTTGCTATTAAACTCTATATATAAAAAAAGAAAAACGCTAAATTATAAATTGAACAAAAATGTCTTTTACGAGTAAATTAATTTTTCTCCAAGGAATTGTTTTTCTTCTGGCGGTGAAACGTCCCTCGACTAACAGAGATCAATATCAGCAAAATCAGGGCAACGGTCCGTGTTCAACTTATAGCTTCAAATCCTTCCAATAACTTATAACAATGGCATTTCGCGTTACGCTACGTGGGGAACTAACGATAATTTTTTCCAGTTTATAGAGCCAGTTTGGAAAACACCGCACTTTTGTGAGAACTTTCCGATCTGCTTATCGTTGGGTATAAATCAATTTGGAACGTAGCATAGGACGGCGTGGCCGGACTCTGAGCCCTTTTTCTGCGAAGTTGGAGCACGGATTAAGGGGTCGCTGACCGCTGCCTAATTGGCGTAATAGTCATGAGATTTATTGGTTTCGAGAATTTATGGCCTCTGCAATAATAGGATTCAGCATATTATAAGTTATTGCTTCCTACTTGTTACGGTTTGCTAATAATTGTAAAATCTTTCATTACGTAATAATATGGTTCATCATCCTTCTTTATATTTCACAGTATATTAATTTACTTTTAATTGTAAACGTAAATAAAACTTTGACGCTTCCATACGTTGCTTGTTCTATACCGCTATCTATAGAAAACCATGCATTTATTTATATATTTATTCAGGCTTTATTTGCACCAAAGTAGATACAAAAAGACGAACTTAATGAAACAAGGCATTTTCTATCAGTCTACTTTCAGGGTGCGAACCAACAATTAGGGTGAACATATCTACATACATACATAAACACTCACGCCTTTCACCCAGAGGGGTAGGCAGAGACTACAGACTTTCATTTGGGATGATCCTGAGTCCTGACACACCTTCGCCGCCCTAACATCCATATATCTACAGCGTAATCTTAATCTGACCCAATTCAATATATCGCCAATTCGGTCGATAAAATTTCGTCTAGGGCGTTCCTATGCTTAGACCGTGCATCCTAAATATAACGACTTCCTCGATTTAACAAATTTTTCGTGATCCCCTTGAACTGTTCATAAGATTCAATACAAAATTAATATACCTTTACATTGTGAACGTTTCTTGCGAAGAACCTCTTTATAACGAATTTACAACTATCAAGAAAGTGTAAATAGCTCTAATTAACGAATTTTGTCAACCTAAAACCTTTATATAAAGTCTATTAGTAGAAGTTGTGAATAAAACTATTTTTTTAACTCTTTATAAGAAATATTAGACCAACCTAACTTCAACACAACAAACCTCAGTTCAACGAATTATTTGACATAACGAATATTTACTTGTTCCCTTCCGATTTGTTATATCGAGGTTGCACTGTATTAGGTATTTAGGCATATCTATATTCCTACAATACATACATAACATATACATAAACACTCACGCCTGTCACCCAGAGGGGTAGGCAGAGACTACGGACTTCCATTTGGCACGATCCTGACATACCTCTTTCGCCTCCTTTACATCCATATATCTACGCATACATGCTCGTCGGTTAAGGGTACTTCTAACGTGGCCCATTTTCAAAATATCTCCAATTTGGTCGATAAACTTTTTCCTAGGGCGTCCCTTCCCGACTCGGCCATTCACATCTGCCATATAAATTTGCTTTGTCACTCTTTCCTCATTCATTCTTTCTACGTGACCAAACCACCGAAGCATTCCTTTCTTAAATGAGTCGCTCGCGTCCGTAGGCTTCGACCACCTAACCTTAGGCCCACCCTACACGTGTCCCCCGGGTGGTGCTAAACGAGCGACAAAGCCGATAAAATAGACTCGGCTCCTCGCCGTATGGTAGCGGCGTAAAATCTACCACCAACCCTTGTTCGCACCATGACTCAAGAAATAAAAGAAATGGCCCCGAGTTCCCGGCGCCCTTTAAATGGGGCAGGGGTGCGAAGAATCTCCGGGAGAAAAACCGGCGACGAGGTTCGCCACCCGTCACGTTCTGTCTCCCGGAGGGGCGAAAAGTGGATTGCGGAAACCCGTCTGGCTACGCTGAATGTATGTGGAGGAATGAATGATAAGATGGATGAAGTATGCGAAATGATGAATGACAGAGGAATAGATGTGTTATGTGTGAATGAGACGAAACGAAAGGGAAAGGATGCCACTGCACATGGCACGTATACCGCGTATTGGTCTGGTGTAGGCGAGACCGAACGGGCATGCCAGGGAGTCGGTTTCATCCTTTCAGAAAGAATGGGTCAATGTGTGAAAGAGTATGAATGTGTAAGCCCGAGACTGCTATGGATACGAATGAAAGTGGGCTTAAAGAAGTTGTTCCTGCTAGGGGTGTACGCCCCAGACATGTCTAAGCCCACTTACATCCGAGAGCAGTTTTGGGACATGGTAAGGATGGTGTTGACAAAATGTAAGGAAAATGAAAATATTATTATGTTAGGAGACTTTAATGGAAGGGTTGGGGTGAAGAGGTCTGGTTATGAAAGGATATTGGGAACGTTTGGTGATGAAAGTATAAATGAGAATGGTGAAGACCTCACCGTATGTGCGGAAAAGAATCTTTTTGTGACGAATACTTTTTTTCGTCATAAGAAGATTCACATGTATACATGGGAAAGAGGTGATGATAGAAGCATGATAGATTTCGTAATTGTGGATGAAAGAATGAGGAGCGCAGTCGTAGATACAAGGGTTTACCGGGGGTCCAACGTAGGGACGGATCATTACTTGGTCTTATGTCGAATTAATGGTCTTTTCAAGCGTTGGCGGCATCGGACATCTGTATCTACCACTGCGTTACAGCGTATAAGAATAGAGAAGTTACAAGATGAAGATGTGATAGAGAAGTATAAATGTAGACTGAGAGAAAATATTAGATGTTTGAATGAGTTGTGTATGAATGATTTAGACTTGAATACTGTGTGGGATAATATTAAGAAAGGTTTGGTTGATACCGCCACCGAAGTATGCGGTGTAAGTAAGAGAACGAATGAAAGGAAAAGTAATACGTTATGGTGGGATGATGAGGTACGGGTGGAAGTTGAATCAAAGAAGAAAGCATGGTTAGATTTACTAGCAACCAAAGCTGATAATTCTTCTGGTATGAAT